TCATCATCATCATCATCATCATCATCATCATCATCATCATCATCATCTATGCCCCAGCAATGCTTGAGCATGCCTGGGCAGCCCATTTATGGCAGTTCTCCAGCTGTTCCTATCCTGGGCAGTTCTAGATGCTTGTGGTATTGTCATATCCAAGGCTCCCCAGTCTTTCTCCAACGTTTTTTTGGGCCTTCCACTTCGCCTTCTCCCGTGCACTCCTCCAAGCAGTGTTCGGGTATTTGCCGTCATTCATTCTCATAACATGGCCAAAGCATTTCAAGCGCCATTGCTGAATCCTGTAGTTTACTTCCTTCTGTAGATGGAGATGTTTCTTAATGTCATCACTGCACAGCCTATCTCTTCGCATGATGCCTAGAATCCTTCCAAGACACGCCATCTCAAACATGTTCAGCAGCTGTTCTGAGGAGCGTTTCATTGTCCAGGCTCTGGCATTGTAAGGAGGGCAGCTCAAAACAAGGGTCTTGTGTACTTGTAATTTTGTTGTTGGTGCTATTTCTCTCGCTGACCAAACCTCTCCTAGTGAAACTCAATGTGGACAATGCCATAATAGCCAGCCTGCCACCAGTTCTACCAGAGCTCTGCAGCAGGAGAATTTTTCTGATTTATTTATTTATCTATTTATTTATTTATCTTGGTGTATTGGGGTGGCAGTAGGGAATGCACCCTGGCCCACATGTGGAGGTCAGAAGACAACTTCTGGATGTTGGTTATCTCCTTCCATCACAAAGGTTCTAGAAACTGACCTCGGACCATCAGGCTCGTGAGTAAAAATGCCTTTTCCATCAAAGTCATCGCACCATCCCCAGTGTGTGTGTGTGTGTGTGTGTGTGTGTGTGTGTGTGTGTGTGCTTCTTAGCTATGGACCTGTCAGGCAAGTGATCTGCCACTAAGCTCAGCTCTCAGCCCCAGGCCTGCCCAATGTGAAACAATTTGAAACTGCCTTTTGTAGAGTCAGGTCTCCCTCTTCTGCACTGTGTGTCCTTGAAGGGCAGAGGCCGTGCCTTCAAGGTCTTTGTGTCCCCAGCACCTAATGTAAACTTAGCAAATGCCAGATCCTGAAAATCTCTTTTGTCTGTGCAGAGAATGTGATTCTGATGGGGCTGCTGATATGCCTGGGTGTCCCATGGGCACAGATCACAAGAGGAGGCTAACAAAAAGGAGGGATCATTGTTAAAGCAATTAATTGGGGGCTATTCTAAGTCTTGAGTTCCTACTTCATCACCCCAAGGGGCAGCTCGGAGAATGGACATAGTCTAAGAAAATGAAACTGAGATTAACTAAACAGAAACTGCCAACTAACCTCTAATTAGCAGCTCAAACAATTAGAAACTCCTGACTAACATTTAAGCTGGGACTTTCCACTTTAAGCAATCCAATTTTTCTTCCCCTTGTTTCGAGAACGCCTTCTGAAACTCTTCTCCCCCACCCTCCAGTAAGCCCCCCTTGGTAAAGCCCTGAACAACTCGGCATTGGTGCTGCCTGACTCACGAATCACTCAGATAAACTCTAACATGCCTAAACTTATGTGCTTAAGTTTATCTCCTAGCTCACAGCCGAAGGAGACATGCCACTGTGAGAGGGTGAAGCAGGGCCAGGCTACCAGGGAGCCAGAGCACAGAATCTGACCTCTGAAGGTACCTGACTGCGAGGTGAGGATGCAGGGATGAGTGGAGGCTCTGGTGGCATCTAGGTCAGTTCAGGGATGGTCACAGGGGCCCTGCTTCAATACCAGATGATTCCTCTGGCATTTCCAGCTACGGCCCAACCTCGTTGGCAAGCCATTTGCAATCGGACCCCACCCATCTTCCTGCTTTAATTTTCAGCAACTCCTCAACCGCAAGCCTTGGGTTCCAGCCACATGGATGACACACCATACCCCAGACGTGCCCGGGGCTCTCCTCCATCACACTGTCCAGGGTTGGATGTCCCTTTGTGCAGCTCTGCTCTTCCTGGGCAGCTCTCCTCCCCAGTCTGCCTGGTACTGCGCTCTCCTTGCATCATATCCTGAGTGTCTATCCAGAACCTCATGCTCACCTTCCCAGTCAAGAGTTTGTGCCTAATACCTTTTGTGTTCCAGCACTTTGCTCTAGACACCGGTGGCACAGAAGAGGGCCAGCAGCTCACCTGTCACTGACCCGGGGTAGTACAGGCTAGATAGAGTCGTGTTGGATCGGGGACATGGGGGACAGGATGATGTCATACTAGAGCAGGGACACAGATCTTCTATGAAATGAAAAATTGCTGGGGCCCTTGGACAAAGGGTGCAACTCTAAACGCTCAGAAGAGTCCAGCCTGATTTTCTGGAGTGTGACCTCCCCTTGACACAGGGACTCCACTGAACCCTGGACTCAACATCCAAGGAAATCTGTGGGCGTTTTCCCAAGAAATCACCAGGCACCTATGCCCCTTGAATTGTGTGTGAAACACAAGTCTTACTATGCCTGTGTCAATAAACCTTCGCAAACTCAGAGGCTCGAAACAATGGAAGTATATTATATTACAATTCTGGAGGCCAGAAAAATCTGAAATCCGTGTCAGGAGCATTCTTGCCTTCTCCACTTTCTAAAAATCGCTCGCATTCATCATCACAGGTCCTCAATTTTACTCTGTCCTCAAATTTAGCAGCCAAGTTTACCATAGTCTCTCTCCGACTCCTTCCTTCTCATGAGGCCTCATATGATTTCATTGGGCCCAAATGAACCATGGAGGAAAAGTCCCTTTTTGCCTTTTAATGCAACATCGTTACAGATTCTGGGGATTAAGATGTAGTCGTCTTTGTTGAAGATCGTTCTGCCTTCCACAGACTCTGAGCAAGAAGGACTTTGTTTGCGGGCGCTAGGCTGGACCGCAGTACGGTGTCTCATTACCGACTCTGTTCAAAGTAGAACTCAGTACGGGTGGAGGGGTCGCTCTCTTTGGTAAGCTGCACTGGCTGCTGGGGCTCAACCGGGCCACAGAGGAACCAGCCAGGGAAAGCAGCAGCCTCGAGCCTGAACGCAGAACCCAAGCTTCTCTGGAAGAAGGTGAAGCGGGTGGTTTGCTCGCCACCTTTGTATAGGTCCTCGATGCTCACATCCTGTGGGGAAGAGAGACAGCTACGAGATGAGATGATTCTGATTGGGGTGTCAGCCCTTGATGCCTCAGAAACTTGGCCAAAGCACTCAATAGGAAAGTTTGACTCAGGGACGTTCCTTTCGTAGGTCCCAAAAGGTGAGAATTCCCTTTCTGGAGGCAAAGAGAGATAGGGGGCAAGAGAGGGGACGTTCGGGTGCAAAGATGCATTTGCAACCTGACAACCTGGGCAAGGCTGACTGTGCCCTCCAGGATGAGGAGGGGGTCTCTCACCTCCAGTTTCAGAGAAGGCCCCTCTCTTGTCTCAACACATGCCAGGCAGCAACTTCCTCCCTGGATCCCCAGGAAGATGGGCACCTTGGAGCGGTCCAGGCCTCGGTTAGGAAGGATACAGATTTTCTCTGGGAGGTAAGACAAGAACGTGATTCAGGCAGTAAGGGGACCCCAGATGGAAGGGTTTTTTTTCCTTGTTTTTTTTTTTTTTCCCCAAGATATGGCTCAGCAAGGAGCAGCTGTACCTAGGCACACCTGGCCTGTTTTTGCACGGAGACTGCAGGGTGAGTGGAACAAGCTGAAGCTGCCCTTCACCTCTTCTCATTATCATGGGGACAGCATTTTCATGTCTCTAAAGACATGAGACAGGAAAAGAATCAAAGGCCTGTAACATGGAGATTTTTCGGGTCCCGGAAGAGAGGCCCCCTGAGGCTGACCTGAACTGCAGTAGTCTGAATTGAGGCCTGTTCCATGGAAATTGGGCGGGTCCCCGGGGAGAGGCCCCCTGGTGCTCACCTGCACTGCAGTTCTCTGAATCAGGGTCTCCCACCAGGAGCTGGCCATTCCGTGTGTACAAAACCTTTTGATGTGCGTCTTTGATTCTGAAATAGGAGGGCAAGGTTAATGGCCTACTGCTGCCGCCAGGGATCATAGTGTCTTCCAATCCCTGGGCTCTGGGCCACCACACTGAACCTTTGGTGAATTCTCTTTTTCCGGAGAGGAGTGGGGACACTGCACCACAAAAGGCAGAAGCAGTCTCCATGCCAGAGCAAGAACAGGTTTCCTAGGCTCGTAAGTGTCAGAGGCTCTCGGGAGTGACAGTGGCCAGTTTCTCATGAAGAGGTAGAGATGCTCTCACGGCTGTCTGAGTACTTGCTTTGAGACTCGGGTATCCCGGGGACACAGTGAGATTTGGAACCGATCCCAGCTTTGGAACCCCTCAGTAATGAAGAGATTGAGGATGCAATAAGTGTGATTCGCTTTGTAAACTTAAAAATAAAAGAGAGAACTCTAAAAACAAAGCCTATGTCACCAGACATTCATTCCACTCCGACCACGGTCAGGTACACTCTGGGTGGATTGAATTTAGGAGGCCGCAGAACTAGATCAGGGCCTGATTAGTCACTGGGGATGGCTGTGGATCTAATGACCTGCCTGGGAGGGTAAGTATGCACCAGGGAAGCTGGGAGAAACTGTCGTGCATGTGAAACATCAAAACCATGCCTGTTATTAGCCTAGTTGCCCGGCTGGTTTCAGAGATGCCCATCAATTGCTCGCAGAGCCCAGGGAGCTCCCAATACCTTGGACCAGCGCCACCACCTCCAGGAGCCTGGTCTGGCTCCGCAGCAGCTGGGGATGGCTGTTTAGAAACAGCTCACCTGCTATGTTTAAAGCCGACTCATTTGTACATTAAGATCAAAGGTCTATGAAGATCTTGCCACCTGGCAGTCTTCTCAGCCTTTGAGAACTGGGACGTGACAGTTCACCTTCTGGAAGCATTCTGTTTAGACACCACTAAGGTATTGTCAAGGAAGCTGTGTGGCGGTAAATACTTGAATTCCAGCACTTGGGAGACAGAGGTGAGCAGAGCTCTGTGAGTTTGAGGTCGCCCGAATGGACATAGCAAATTCCAGACTAGCCAGGGCTGTAGAGAAACTCACTCTTCCTTCCTTCCTTCCTTCCTTCCTTCCTTCCTTCCTTCCTTCCTTCCTTCCTT